ATAAAGTTAAAAAAACTTCACATAGTTTGCTATTAAATTAAAACTTAAAGAAATGATTTACTGGTTCCTTTCGCCGGTTTTATCTTTCCAAAGGTGCTGTGCATAAGTGCAGCTACAACTGACCAGTTACATCTTGTTTCATCATGTAGGTCACAAGTCTTGAGGGGTTGGCGTTGTTTCGATAGTCCTTCCACCAAGCACATTCAAAGAACGTGTGCTCAGCGTCGATTTTATCTGGACAGTATTTGCACATTGGCGTGCTATGCAAGCCCATTTTACAAATATAGGCATTAAACTGTCCATGTTCTGTCAGTAGCTGGGTCAGAACGAAAATTTGTGTCCTCGTATTGTTGAGAGACCCAGACGCTAATATCCGGGATCAGGCGCGCCGATCATTTGCCCGTCTCACCTGACGTCCACCGATTCTCGGCCTTATTTTTTTGGAATTGTCGCCACCTATTTTAGCGTCATAGATTTTTACTCTCTCGAATGCTAGCAAGTCTATTGGAGTAGCTACTGCAAAATTATGCTCTAGGCCTAGGGCGTTTAAAATATCCTCCCAATTTGCACTGTTGAAGGCGTTTTTAACGTCGAATGTAAGGATGAGACACACCTTACGAGCTTTAAAACTACACCGTTTAGGAGAATATCTAGACATTTCAGGGATTCAGTCTTGATCACTGAGGCTGGGATGCCATCAGGATCTGGTGCTTTTCTGACTTTATGGTTTTTATCGCTTCTTGTAGTTCCTTGACAGTGAAGGTTGTAGTTTTACTGTTTTCCAGGTATTGTATCTTTTCCGTGGCGGGGGTTTAGGGAGTAGTTTTGCTACGATGCTATTTATCAAAGCAGGTGATTTTGGTGCTTCTGGTAAAGCTCTACCAAGTCGTTTTGTAACAATTTGCTAGATTTTGCCCCAGAATCTTTGTCGAGATCGTTGCAAATCTCTTTCCACAATACGGCTTTAGCTAATTGTATGACTTTATTCAGAATCTTCTTTGCTTGTTTGAACACGTTTGTATACATATCTTGGTAGGGAAAACGTTTCGCAGTTCTTGTAGCGCGGCGACGTAGTACGTGGCATATTTTTCGTAGTTCTGCTATCTCTGATGACCACCAATATGCTGAGTGATAAGTGGAGTGACCAACGTAAAGTCGAGGACAGATTCCTGATATCCCTGTCTTCTAAAAGTTGTAATACTCTCAGTATTTAGCACAGTAAGATCCAATCTTGCTGCAAAGACTGCCACGTCATTTCTTCTGTTGCTTGATCTGTCTATGTCTTCGCAGTATATTTCGCGCGCTATTCAGATTACCTTGTAAAATTTGCATCATATCTGCTCTCTCGCGACTTCGGTAAGTGCTACACGGAATGCCTTACAGGTCCCGGATCTAACAACATGGCTCCTGCTGTTCCGGTCTTCTTTATATACTGTACATAGGAAGCATTTTGTCTTTTTCGTGCAGTATACAGACTTGTGATTTTCTCCGCCGCATTTGTAGCAACTCTTGCTTCTGTCTGGTTCCCCGCATTTATGCGTTTGGTGTCCAAAGCCGAGGCATCTAAAACAGCAAGCCACTTTAACAACTGGAAGAATGCGACAGTTAACCCACACAGTTCTTATGCAAGCCCTGTTTAGGGCTTTGATTGCATTGGTCTCATTTATCTCACAAAGGCTGCTCGTTGTCGTCTTGATGTGACTTCAGTCAAGTTCACTCGTCGAATTTCTAGTTTTGTCGTAAAGTCCCGATTGAGTGCTTTGCGATAGTCGTTTTCGGTAAAAACACTATCAAGGTCAAGAATCTCTATCGTCGTCAGCGGCGTCAGTGTTTTTTACTGTTTCTATGTTTTCAGTTGCTGGCGGCTGCAAAGGCTAAACTGTCTTCGGATTTGAGTCTCATTTTCAGTAATATACCTCCATATCTTGTGTGTTTGATGGACTTTATGTCCACGCCAGTCTCTGTTGGGTTTACTTTCTCCTTGATCTCCTTAAGAAGATCAGCGTACGTTCGTCCTTCAGCTGGTTGAACCAAAACAGCCCTGGTTCTATGTTTCCTTCTGGTTATCATACGATGGTTGTTTCTGTATTATTATTTGATTCGACTTTTTCGGTTTCCGGTTTCTCGGTCTTCTTCAAGGTTACTTTCGGATCCCGTGCTTTTTTCTTCTTCGAACTTTGTCGAGTCACTTCCGGTGAGTTATTTTTTACAGCTGATTTTTTAGGCGGATGTGCTTGCGCGTCAGAGGCGGGGCTTAGTGAAGATATCAGCCTTTTGTTTGTGTTTTGCTGCTGGGTCTAAGGGGTTGATGTCTGAATTACACCCGGCTGGTTTGTGTTGTTTGCACTGTCATTGTGACAGCTTTGGGGGTTGCCGTATATTCTTTCAATGTCAGACTATATGCTGTATCAATCAACCTGATTAGCTCCTTTATTCTGCTATGAACATGTTCTTATCTTTGATATACTCCGCTAGCTTGTCAATTTTGGAGCCAAGTCTTTCGATCGGCGTTTGACGACATCTAGTCAATGGTGCAGAGTTTACTTTGTCACGGTGAAGATTACCGGGAACCTCCTCGACGTCTATAAATACGTCACCTGCCTCTTGTTAACTTCCCTTAGGGTAGTTATAGTAATGGGCCAAAAATTTAAAATAAATGTTTTGCATTTCTCCACGTTCTGAAGGTTTATGAACGTTTTGGCATACTTCAGAAATAATGGATGTGTGTGTGTGTTTTGTGAATCAGCATTTTTTCGTTCACGTTTGCGGGCGCACGGATCAACCGATTTGAATGGTTTAAAAAGCATTTGTTTCCTATTGATAGGAAGATGTGCTGATTAGTTTTTGGCAAAGGTAGGTCGAGTTGTTACGGAGATAAAGAGCAAAGAGTGCAGAAAATAGAAATCGAGTTTTTCAATGAACGGAGCATCTAATCTGGTTGATCTATAAACATTCAATTTATAATGATTGGGAAAAGTGGTGATTAGTTTTTGGCAAAGGCAGGTCTAGCCATTTTGAAGATACCGAGCTAAATGTACAAAAAATGGCAATAAACATCCGATTTGAATAATTCAAAAAACTTTTTGCTTGTGTTGACGAAACAATTGCTTTTGGGGAAAAAAATTTATTTCATTTTTTTTCAAAATTTTTTTTTGTATATCAAAAATAATTCAATTTTTATTTTCAATTCTGGTGAAGATTTTAAAGCTAACTTATACATTTTAAATGAATAATTTTAATTTAAATTTTATAATTATCTATTTGCAAACATTTAATATTTCTCGAACATTTTGTTACGGCACGGAAAGTTCCAGCAATTTGCCTTAGGGCACGATGCCATACACTACCAGTTTTTTTTGGTTTTGATAGTCGTTCATGCTGTTTAAACAGACCTCCAAAGCAAAAGGTCGTCTCCGAACGCGGGAAGTGGGTGCGGCACGTTGATGCCGGGAGTTTCCACGCACGGTGCGCTGTAGGGATCATCCACACATCTCGTTCAAGCAGTGTCTCCTAATCCGCCTACGTACGTGACTCTACGTCTAGCCAAAAGAAGAGTTTTTTATTTTTTCCGGGATACGCGTACGGTGGCTATTACTCCTCAGCTTTGGTGCCTAATTAAATCCGCAAGGGCTATTTTATTTTGCTCCAATCCGCCACTTTTACGATCGGTTAGGAACACCCCTATCCGCCACTTGCGGACCCGCCCGCTAGGAGTTTGGCTTCTCCCGACGGGATATGTGTGTGTGTGTGAACAGATTTTTTGCCGTAAATCGACGTTTTCTCAAAAACGGCTGAACCGATTTCAAAAAGTTAAAAGCCATTCGATGTATCTCGATGAGGACTATCGTTTGTCAGTTTTGCGCTACGATCGGCCGAATCGATTCTTCATGGATAGCAGAAAAGTGAAAAAAAAAAATTGTCCACGTTTTAGGCCGCAATTCTGAATCGATATTAAAAATTCAAAAACCATTTGAAAGATATTAGTTGGAAATCGACCTAATTAGTTTTTGGTAAAGATCGGCTGAGCTGTTTCCTTGTAATAAAGTGTTAAAAAAAAATTTCGACGATTTTCACGATTTTTTTTGACGGTAGATACCATAGATTTATAGATCATAATAAAATATTACACCTCCGTACAACTCGTTTAACTTTAAAAATTTGTCAAAGTTTGCAAAAATTGGTATCGTTTTTTTGGCATTAGTCAAAATTAGACCTTTTATCGACGTTTTCCAAAAACAGCTAAACATTTCAGAAATTTAAAAGCCATTTGATGTATCTCAATGAGGATTATCGTTTGTCAGTTTTGTACGACGATCTGCCGAGACGTTTCTTTGTAATTTTAAAAAAGTGTTAAATTTTTCGTCCACATTTAAGCTCATACTACTTAATCGATTTAAAAAAATCAAAAACTGTTCGAAAAGATATTAGTTGGGAATGACACTGATTAGTTTTAGGTGAAAATCTACCGAGCCGATTTTTATGGTACTTTTTTTGACGATATATATCACGGTCTTATAGAACTTACTGAAATATTACGACCTTACGATAAGTAGTTTAATTTTAAATATTTTGTCCGAATTTCAGAAAATGAGTAAATTTTTCGACGTTTGTTAAAACTAAAATTAGATGACTTACTTGATATAACGATAGAGTACTTGGTCTTAATAAACATACTAATCCATTAAAGTCCTACGGAAACTGGTCCAATTATAAAAGTAGTTGATTTTTGAAAATTTGCTTTTAGAAAATGCTCCGAGTTAACGTGTTCGTTCGTTTTCAATTATGTGGAATAACTCGGAATACTTCTAATCACTCATAAATTAAATAATTTTGTATTGATTAAGTCGATTATTCACACATATCGGGAAGCTCATGTAACTTTCCTCAAGGCAAAATTCTAATATCAACTAGTTTTTAAATATATATATATATATATATATATATATATATATATATAAATATATAAATATACTTTTACAAAATCAGGACCACATAGAAGTATGCCAGTGCGCAGGACCCCCGGACGGTTGCCCCGAATACCATTCAGCCCCACACAACTACGAACCCTGGAGAGGGCATTTGCGGAGGCGCCGTACCTTTCCAGTCACCAGGCAGGAGCACTAGCGAGGACACTTCAACTCACAGACACTCGGGTGAGATAGTTTATTCATAAGATTTATGTAATATTTTGTATAACTTTATAACTGGTGAGTATCAGTTTCTCCAATCAGCTATTTTGTTGGTATCAGTTTCTCCAATCAAATTGCTAAATACTTTTTGATTTAGGTAACTATATTCAAAATTAAATAAAATCAAAATAACAAATAAATAAATCAACTAAGTGTAAGTGGCATTTTGCCATGAGACAAATTGCATGAACTTTTCGATATGTGTATCTGACTTAATCAACCGAAATTGAGATTTAGCTATTTATATAAATTTTTTGTCTGTTTATTACAAAAAATATAGTTTTTGTGTTCATCAATAACTAAATATTGCGATCTCCAATTGAAATTCAAGAAAATACTAGCATAATTATTACGATCATGTGCGTAGTCCTTGATATTATTTAATCATTTAAATTACCTGTATTATTTTTTACTCTACTAGAGTAGTTTTATAGACTGTTCGTTAGGTGACACAGATATGAAGAATCGTTTTATATAATTATTAATTAGTTTTTGTGAACAATACACAAATCCATTAACTTGAGATAACAATATTTTGCGAAAACTGTTACAAAAAAGAACTTTTTATAATTTCAAAAAAAATGGCTTGGTCTAATCCCTGCTCGTTCTTGTCGAGTTTAATGGCTTTTAGGTTTATGACATCTGTTCAGTGGTTTTTGAGAAAATCAAAATTAAAATTTTGACTCATCACATTACAATATCATATTTTTTTCAAACGTTGATAAATTTTTAAAACTGATCACTTGTCGTAGGGCCGTAAATTATAGTATATTTAGTATGATTACGCTCCTGTCATCAAATAAATATTCTTTAAAATTGTCCGAAAATTATTTTTTCAATATTTTATTACGAAGAAACGGCCTGGCTGATTTTTACCAAAAACTAATCAACGCGATTCCCACCCAATACCTTTTAAAAGTTTTTGAATTTTTGAACTTGGTGAGCTAAAACGCAAGTGTATAACTTTTCACTTTTCTGCTAATTACTAAGAAATGGCATGGTCGATTATTGTGCAGAACTAATCAACACGAATTTTTATTAAAATGTATCGAATAGCTTCTATATTTTCTTATCGGACCAGTCGCTTACGAGAAAACGTGGACGAATTATTGAATATCGGCTCACATACACGTTCTTTTTTCAAATTTGGTCTCAGTCATTGGTATTATTATTTCAAAATTAATTTTTTTAAATTTCGTATGCCTGTAATATTTTAGGATCTCCGTTTAGGGTATGAACTCTATCGATATATTAAATATCATTAAAAACGCAAAAAAATTTAACGTTTTGTGGGAGTTAGACAGGCAGTGACATAAGAATAAAAAAGCGAGTAAGCAAAAACAAAAGCTAAACGATAGACAAAAAATTATTCACTAGTGGTGCATGGCATCCTAGCAAATTGCTGAAACTTTCCGTACCATAATTAAACAAATATATGCACTCTACGACTCTATATCTACCAACGAGAGCGTCGAAGACTGAAGTGACGCGCTAACTAACTGAGCTCGCTGTTATGAGCGAATGCCTAGAATCTAGATGCGAATTTTTGCACTTTTTGCCCCATCAATATGAATCGAATGTTTTTTGAATCATTCAAATCGGTCGATATGTGCGCCCGAAATCGTGCACAAAAAATTGTATCCAAGCATACACACATACATACTAAGTACATACACACCTATATATACATTTCTTCTGAGGTATGCCAAAATGTTAAGAAAGTCTGAAACGTAAAGATATGTAAAAATTTTCATTTTCAATATTTTGCGATTACTATAACTTACCCTACAGAAAGTTAATAAATGGATGTACGTTATCAAAACGTTTTTCATCTCTGAATATTTTTTTATCCACCACCAAGCAAGATTTTTATTTTGTAAACTAATATTAATGGTGATATGTTTTTCATTTTAGGTTAAAATTTGGTTTCAAAACAGAAGAGCTCGAGCCCGTAGAGAACCCAAAAACAATACAGTGAGCAGCACTACTTCTCTCGCAGAACATGGATCAACCTCTTTTAATTATCCACAAGCTTCTATCATCAATTTTCCTTCAGGACGAAGTGAAAAATTCAAGAAAACCTTTCATAGTGATTCATAATATATAAAATCAGTGGTAATTATATTAATTATATTATAAATTATGTATATAGAAAAAATATATTTATAGCATCAAATAATGGTTTGCAATATTAGTTTTACTCCGATTATATTTTGTTAGCTATGGCAATCCTCCAATTCAATATGATAACACGCCTCCTAGCCGCCGCTAAAGAAGTTTTATTCTAAAAAATGGACCAAATTAATACAAAATTTGAAGTAGACGATTACCGCTTGGGTGTAGTATCATTACTACGAAATGTGAATATGCGAATACTACGAAATGTGATTAAAAATTGGCTAAGACATTTGGGAGGAGTATGGCAACTAATACCATTTACACACCATTTAGTTAGTTTATCAGTTATATTGAAATATAAATTTCAAATATTACTGTTTGGCTATCCTAACCTCTCGGCAATACCCGACTGATGAGATTCAATACATATACACCTATATTCCAATAATAATAATCAAATATACCTAAACTTACTTATTTCAACAACTAGTCTAATTACAAGTTTATTAACTTTTCACCTTCACTATTCACATCAGATTGCTCTTCCTCCAAGTCCGATACATCACTCTTTTCAGAACCGTGTCTCTCTGTGATCTAAACCACAAATGCATTCTGCTTGGATCTATTATTGTTTTTATTGGAATATACGTTACTTGAAACCATTCTACATTTTCGATGGCATATCAGTCGTGGACAGCACAACACTTTCTTGACTAGGTACGGATACGGTTTCTTATACATGGGTAATAATTTTTTGTCCATACCAATAATCGAGTCTACTTTGGTTATCATTAGCATATCTCCTACCTTGTATTTTGCCGTCTCCTTGCTGCGCTTGTCATATCTCTACCTCTTCCAGTTCATTCATGCTGCTGAAACAATAATGCTTCGTCAAGGCCTTTGTAGTCATTTTCACACCCTCATCTTCTAGCTGTTCGTGCATTGATCTTGATACCTCTTATACCATCGATGTTAACACTCAAAACAATATCATTTTTTTTGAACTTCTTATACTACTAATCTAGCAAACAGCTGATGTTGCTTAGCTGTTTTGCTAGATTACTAGTTGCTCATGTTACGAAATGCGTGCATTCACATGCCGCAGCCTTGCCGCCATGCAATGTTCCAGGTTCCAGCTCATGATCATAATTTGACGGTATAGTGAATATCGTAACAAACTTTTCCTTTATATGTAGAGCTAATTTCAAACTGTTACAATCACTCGCCACTTATAAAAACGATTAGAAAAACATTTTTCTAGATTTTTTCTAGTAAACACTTTTAAATCTATCGATACAGAAATGTATACACATATTAAAAACATTTTTTAACTATATTTATTAACTTCCCGAAGAAGAAGTTTATGTTTTCATCAAAAAATCCTATTCGCTAATTTTATGTTTTCTCGACGTTTCAAGCCATTCTGAATTGAATGAGACCAAATTTGGAAAAGTATGTGTGTGTGTGTGTAAACAGATTTTTTGCCGTCAATCGACGTTTTCTCAAAAACGGTTCGACCGATTTCAAAAATTTAAAAGTAATTCGATGAGGACTAGCGATTCAGAGTTTTGTGTGATGATCGGCCAAGCCGTTTCTTTGTAAATCGCAAAAAAGTGGAAAATTTTTCGTCCACGTTTTAGCCCGCAATTCTTAATCGATTTTGAAAATTCTAAAACCGTTCGAAAGATATTGGTTAGGAATCGTGCTGATTAGTTTTTGGTAAAGATCGGCGGGGCCGTTTTCTTGTAATAAAGTTTTTTTACAAAAAAATCAACGATTTTTATGATTATTTTTTTGACGGTAGATATCATAGCCTTCTAGATCATACTAAAATATTACGGCCCTACGACAACTCGTTTAGCTTTACAAATTCATCAAAGTTTGCAAAAATTAGTATCGTTCTTTTGGCATTTGTCAAAATTAGACCTTTGATCGACGTTTTCTCAGAAACGCCTGCACCGATTTCAGAAATTTAAAAGCCAGTTGATGTATCTCAATGATTACTATCGTTTGTCAGTTATGTGAGACTATCTGCCTAAGCGTTTCTTTGTAATTTGAAAAAAAGTGTTGAACTTTTCATCCACATTTAAGCTCAAACTACCGAATCGATTTTAAAAAATCAAAAACTGTTGGGAATGATGGGCCAACTAATGTTGGGATTAGTTGGGAATGATATTGATTAGTTTTATGTGAAAATATACCAAGCCGTTTTCTTGTAATCAACTGTTGAAAAAAAAAATTCAAGCGGATTTTTATGGAACTTTTTTTGGCGATATATATCATGGCTTTATAGAACTTACTGAAATATTATTGCCTTACGACAAATAGCTTAATTTTAAAACATTCATCAAAGTTTAAGAAAACGAGTAGTTTTTTGATGTTTGTTAACATTAAAATTAGACGATTTACTTGGTATAACTATAGAGTACTTGGTTTTAATGAACATACTAAACCATTAAAGTCCTATGGAAACTGGTTCAATTATAAAAATGGTTGATTTTTGAAAATTTGCTATTAGAAAATACTCCAAGTTAACGTGTTCGTTCGTTTTCAATTATGTGTAGTAAACCCACTCAGAATACTTCTAATCACTCATAAATTAAATTATTTTTTATTGATTAAGTCGATTAATTACACATATCGGGAAGTTCCTGTAACTTGCCTTATGCCGTAATGAAATATTCGAGAAATATTAAATGATTTCAAATACTGTATAACTTTTATTAAATAATTGAGTTTACTTTTATATTACTTTTTGTTGTTTAGACATTGCCAGGATAAAGCATTAGTTGGTCATTTTTACCCTACCCACATATGCGATTTTATAAAGATTATATAAAACATCTGTGGAATATAACTTAAAATTAACAATGCTTTGTATAAAATATTCAATAACTCATACTAAATAGAGGTCTCGTATACTAAACAACAGTGCTCACAACCAAAAACTAACAGCGAAAAAAATACTTTTGTTGCGGATTTCCAAACTTTGCCGTTTATCTCCAACGACGTCAAGCAAAAATCAAGGTAGTGCCTAGTTATATATATTTTTTCTCTATTAACTATGTTTTCAAAATATCGGTGGTGGACCTTTTAATTTACGGACCTTTGACCACCGCATATCCTATAGAATGGTTGTGTGATAAAAGTATATTAAAAAAAAACAAGTTTTATCAAAATACTATCGGATATAATCAAATAATAAATCATTTGTATATATTTATAACTTTACAGTTAGACGGCGAAAATTTTAACGCTTCTAATTATCAAATCGCTATTATGTGTATTCCATGTCCTTTGCCAATTGTCTTTGTCTTGCCAGAACCTGAAACAAATGTTAATTTATGTATGCATAGATATTATATATATAATATATAATATATATATATATATATATATATATATATATAATATATAAAATTATTTTTCGGGTGGTGCAAAGTATACAGATAAACAGAAAAATACTTTTCATAACAGTAAACTAATATAGTTCGAGAAATTTTTAATTAGTATAATAGTTTCCTTATTATAATCTACTATTTTTACTCATCTCAGGTTTATTGACTACTAGTAACATACTCTTTTAACACTAGAATGACGCAGGTGGGTGGAGTACCTATTTTACCTGATTGAGTTAATTTGACTCAATTGTCAAAAATTCTGTTTTTTATTATAATAAAAATTATTATTAAAAAAACTTTATTTCAAACACTTTTTGCCTTTTGTTTTTTAGTCACCTCTTTAGATATGACCCAATCATTAATTACTTCCAAATCTAAAATATTGTAGAACACGTGAATGGGTCATCTTCGGGAACCTGCTTTGATACTATATTTTTGCGCCATTTCATGCAGTATTTCGACTAAATACTTGGTGTTATTATAAAAGAACTATAGAAGGATATAGTTTTTGAGAAACGTTTTTCAATTTCAATTTGTACATTGCGATGTTTTGAGCTCAAAAATAATTTTTTATTTATTGGTCAGTGTACAGGCTCCCGTTTGATAAAGTTTTGTAGAGTATCAATGTGTCCTTGTTTGCTTTTGCAAATTGTGACAATTCTTTTCTATTTCATCGTATTGTTTAGACCAAAGAAGTTTTGTTGTCGCGTGAAACCCGTATTCCCGTATGACACGACGGTTGTTTTCTGGAATGGCTAGCTTAATTTTGTCGCGGATGTCGGCACTAGATTTTATGATAGTTTTTCAAGTAGTGTGAAATTTTGCTTTACACTAATGTGAGAAAGCTACCTTGCTGTGAGTGAGTTTTGTTTTAACTTGCTAAATTTCCAAATATGATAAACAACATGACAAAATACTACTTCTCTATTATTCGAACGAACGAAATATAGCCCTAATCTCACGAGACTTGTTTCGTCGCTTTTTGGGTCTGGCTAGCCATCTAACACGCCTCAACTTTTGCAAATGAAAGGCTTGTAAAAATATCTATTATAATAGTTTGTCTACTACCTAAATATGGCTTAGTCAGTTTAAATAGAACAAAGTCGCTCAAGAGTATATTTGATCCACTGGCATTATTCTTGCTCCAAAAAGAAAAACCGTTTTGAAAGTACTTGCTTCAAAATTTTATTCCAAATTGTCTTGGTTTATTTGGCATATATATAGTAGAGATAATGAGCACAACTTCAACAAAATATAGTTTGTGACAAATAATTTTACAGCATTAAATGAACAAATTATAACATAAAAGGTTTTTAGCACATTTTTATGAAAAAAAAAAGTAATGTGAGTCGGTGAATTTTAGGAAGTAAGGAAGTAGGAAGGAAAAAAAAAAAACTTTTTGTATACTTTTCATTATTCTATAAAAACCAAAAAAATATATAAAAATGACATAAATTTGTTATGTATATCACATTAGAAGTTCGAATGAGTTAATTTGACCCGTTTCGTCATTCTAGTGCTAGTTATGTAGGAACTACATAAACATATTTATTACGAACAAAATTTCGAAACAACCATTTTCTTTATATAGTACAGAGAAAATGATATATGAGGTAATCACATACTGACATACTAAATTTTAAGAAGAATGTTCAAATTTGGTCTTCTTTGGAACATCAGCATATAACCCATGAGTTCGAAGAGAAAAAAATCATACGTCGTAACCAACCTTAGCCATCAGGCTCACGACAAGAAAAATCGGTTTTATATATAAATATATATATATATATATATATATATATAAAATTCGAAAATTTTATAAAATATTTTTTAGGTATAACTTAGCGACAAATGAATTAAGTGACAATTCGTGTCATCTTTTATTGACAATTCGACGCTCTGCAAAACAGGTTTTTTATAATTTGATATGTAGAGCGTCGAATTTTGAATAAAACTCATTCATTTGTTCGCTAAGTTATATCTAAAAAACATTTTTAAAATTTTTGAAATTTTTCTCATGCTATTTCCATACAAAACTTTGATTGAATTGCGCACTATCTAAATGTTAACATTGAGAGCTTAAACTTTAATTTATTAAAGAATTATTTTTTAATAATTTGGAAGCATTTGAGCCCTTGGGAGCAAAGAAATGCCAAAATGTCCATATTGAGGACCACCCTAATATATATATATATATATATTAATATTGCTGTCTACCTGAGCATCGACTTTGGATTGAAATTTTCCCAAGGTTTGGGTGCAAAGTCACCATTGGAACTGCTGGAGGATGTGCCATCAGGAAAATCGGTAATTCCTCCTGCACCTAAGCCTAAACGAACAACCATCTGTAATATAATAAACAAATTATATTATATATACTAGCTGACTCGGCAAACGTTGTTTTGCTGAGTAATGTATTTCTAAGCATTGTCTAGAGAATATCAATATTTTATTTTAAGTGTGTAAGAATGTGTTGTTTGAATGCTATAGACCTTGAGAAACAAAAACAATGAAACCCCAATTTCTTTTTTCTATATTATATAATTTATATTAACAATGTTCGTTTGTCCATATTTTGTTAATACAATCAAACTAGAAGTTTCATACATTTTCTATGGAAAACATGGTATAATCCAATCGATGTCTTTTTTGATCTTTCCACTTATATTGCCATTACAAACTCCAATTAATCGGATGCTGTTTTTTTTCAAGTTTTTTAGATTCTTTTTGAATTCTGGAATTGTGTATAATTTTAAATAATTCTACTGAGTTTCTACAAAATTCCAAATTTCTGCGAGAAGAGGTAGAAAATAAATGAAGTATTTCTTCTTTGAACTGCTCTTTGAAAATATAAAATAAGTCGCATTAGTGCATTTTTTACCTAGATATAACTGTAAATGACCTTGATCTGGTATTTTATTTATCCGTAAAAACATAATTCGTGAAAATATTTTTATAAAGATCGTACTTCATACAACACAGTTAAGAACTTTGTCAAAATATTTATCATCACAATTGCCACGACTATTAATTAAATATCCATAGGGTAAGTTATAGTAATAATAAAAAAAATGAAAAAAAAAATTATCATAAAACTTTACGTTTAAAACCTTCAGAACATTTTGGAATGACTTAGAAAAAATGGATGCAAGTATGTGTATATATGTATGTACGTCTGTATATATATGTATGTATGTATGTTTGGATACAATTTTTGTCGATGATTTTAAAAACATGGATCAACCGATTTGAATAATTTATAAAACATTCGATTCCCTTTGCTTTGGATACGTGCTGATTAGTTGTTCGCAAAGCAGGTTCAGCCATTTTAATGATACGGGATAAAAAGTGCCAAAAATGGTAATTCAATTTTTGAGACCTTCTCTCAAAATGTTTGCTGTTTTTGCATAAAACAGACTTTTGAAAATTTCGAAATTTTGAAAAAAAAAATTATTTTTTTGATTGATAATATAAAGTAATTGATTGTAATAGCCCAAGAATTGAAATTGAAAATTTTTGCATATCTTTACGTTTCAGAGATTTCTGGATATTTTGGCATGCATTAAAAAATGGATGTATATGTGTGTGTATGTGTGGATACAACTTCCGCCGATGATTTCGGCGTACAGAACAACCGATTTGAATGATACAAAAAACAATCAATTCCTATCGATAAGGAGACGCGCTGATTAGTTTTTGGCAAAATTGGTCCAGCCGATTTAGAGATACGAAGTAAAGAATGCAGAGAATAGAAACCGAGTTATTGTGAGAATCGAACATACGATTTAAATGATCCAAAAAATATTTAATTCATAATGATAAGGAAAAGTGGTGATTAGTTTTTGGCAATGGCAGTTTCGAAGATACTGAGCTAAATGTACTAAATGTAAATAAAAAATGTCAGTTATTGAGAGAACTAAGCATCTGATTTGAATGATTTAAAAAACTTTCTTTTTGTGTTGACGAAACGATTGCTTCTGGAAGAAGATTTTTTTTATTTCTCAAAAAAAAAAATTAAATTCGAAAATGATTTTGATTTTAATCTTAATTCTAGCTAAAGTTCTAAATTATTATAACTTTGCGACTTAGTTGATATAATTCTTATAAATATTAGACAATGTCCTTCATTTTAAATCCGATTAATTAGATTTGTTTATTTACTTTTCTGTAATCGTCGTCGTCCAATTCTTATATTTTGTCTAGAAAATAAGAATGATGGAATTTGCAGTAGGGTGCGGTGATCAGACGTGGGCCACAGGTTGGAGAGGGCCACCTGAATAACCTTAAGACTAGTGACATGTATGTCGAACCGCGCACATATTTATAATATTTTGATACTTGCCCAATTTTAAAAAGCATTTTGAGGTTATAAACCTACTCCCTCATTGTGCAGAGAAACGCACTAAGAATTTCGTCGCAAAAGTTTTTAACGTCGTACGCTCTTAAGTGATTTCTCATCGAATTTTCACGAGAAAAATACAAGTAAATATGCAATATACTATATAGACATATAATCTTTGATATGCAAAGTTATTTTTTTGCCGATTGTTTACATTGTGCTTGTGGGATGCATATGCAAAAAAGGCGTTTGTAGATGGGCCACTATTTGTGGACAGACATGGGCCACTTGCGTAATGCCGTTTTTTGCACAGTAAAGAGTTTTTATCAATTAATCGAACGTTTTACTTACTTATTTTTATCTCGTCGTTCATAATGCCTGTTAAAACACAGAAAACTCCCAAAAAGTGGTGAATTATGAAAAATCAATTATTGCTGTGAAGGAAGTGAAAATAAATAAAATATCAGATCGTGGTGCTTCTGCTATTACCAATGTTGGCAAATTGTCTTTTTAACGCAACAATACATCCCCTGAAAACAGACAGGTTGTGGCAGAAGCAGCACAGCGAAAGTTTCCAAGAAGGCCAATACTTTACAATCAACCGTGACAAAGGCAAAAAATAACACACTTCGGTTTCTTGAAATGAAGACATCAATTCTGATTCTCAAGTGCAAATTCAAGATTTTCAAATGTAAAATATATTAGTGGTCAAACTGCCCTTTATCGCAAAATTATAAGAATTACTAAAAAAAATTATTGGACAATCTGTGGTGTGTTTCAAAGCTTACTTACCAGTTCGCTAAACATCGGCATATGATTCTTCCAATTTTCACCTTTAGTTACATCTTGGCTTTGTCCAGATGGAAAATTACCTTTTGGAGGCAATATTACGCCATATTTGATATTATCAACTATGAAACATACATGATCTGAAAGAATACCAAAAAATTATTGGAACATCTTAACTAGAAAGTGATAAACACTTACAGGGTGTCCATTCTAGTTCGTATTTATGAAAAGCATTTGCCCAAGATTCCTTATTAACGTTTTTATAAACTTTGGCGGTGATATTCCTGACAGGATCATCGTGTTTAAATAATAAGGCACCACTTAATTCTGAAGATCCAAAGTCGTAATCTGTTTCCTGGGATTTCAGGACTTTATTTCCTCTCGCAAAAGCGATCCTCATGGCACCGGATTTGTAGCCGGATCCATGATTGTAATCCTTGGGTTCCAAATTCAAAACTTGTGAAAAAGAATAATTATTAGTTCAAGATAATTCAAATTTACTTATTTACACTTTTAGACTTTTCTGATCATCCCTGATTGTCTCGATCATCCCTAAACTCTACTTACTAGGATATAACCAGTTTCCTTCCGGTAATTTAGCATCGATTTGAATTCTTCCATACCTGAAACTGAATTTAGATCTGATACTGGCAGACACTACTGGTGGTAATATATTATAGAACATGGCCTTCCTTGAGCACTCGCCATATGCCATTGGTGCACAACCGCATCTAGAAAGATATACAGCATATCTATATATAATATAATATATTCAGGTCATGATATTTGTCGCAATACTCATCCGAAATGATTTGGCAGATATTTATAAAATTGAAAATACTGAAAAACCCACATTTCAGTCAATGAAAACCTGAGTTCATAAAAAAACTTAAATTTTCTTAAAAAAATTATTTTACCTAACACTTTTCTTTTGATTTTGTGGTAATTTTTTTTATATAAATTTACTTAATGCAGAATTAAAAAATAAATAGAAGTCTAAATTTTCATCACAAATCTCTATTTTATAATAGTCATTTTAAGGGGGGCGATACATGTAACAAGAAAAAAAAAATCGATTTTTTTTTTTCAAAAATCGTTACAATAACATCTCAAAAATATGCCTGTAAATATTCAAAACAAAATTATCATTATTTATATAATAAAAACTCATTTAAGTGCCACGCCTCAACTCGACGCTTGAGTGCTATTGTACTCTTATCTGTTTCTGTGTCAAAACTTTAAAAGCGTTTTTCTCAAAACGACATTTTTGAGATTTGCGGGCGGGATAACTCAAAAAGTTCTCAACCGATTCCAATGAAATTTTGCACACATCTACTTTACAGTAATAGCTTCTAGTTAAACTTCAAACATTCCAAAAAAAATTTCAAAAATTAAAAAGTCCTCAAAAAATGGTAAAAATTAAGGCGATTACATGTATCGCCCCCCTTAATGGTCCACTCATTTTTATATATAACTCGAAAACTAATCAATTCTCGTCTTTTTTGTGGACTTTCTCATTGAAATTTGATCATAATCTCAGTTTAAATTGCTTTCTTTGAGTTTATTATAGCAACTTTAACTCCCACGTTTCATACGGTATCTAATTCTGGGGTTTTTCATCCAAACTAATTAAAATATTTCTATTTTAAGCTTCAGAAAGAGCTATACGAATAATTTTTCCCTTGCCCAGTAAAGCCTCCTGCAAGCCCATATTTCAAAAGCACAATATCTAACTTTCCCATGTATTTTTCTGCTGGTAACATTATCTTTCATCAAAAACAATTCGAAACTTTTTAATATGGCTTCGGTTTCCTCCAACTACAACACCAGACAAACTTATTAAGGCGCGCACATATTCAGCTTATAAATAAACTTCTACTCAGTGTCCGAAACTTAGATAACAAAAAATTCCATACTACTTTAGTTAAACTTTTTAAAGAATTAACTTTTTATGACATTACAGAATTTTCTCAATTTGATTTCAATAACTATTTTCTTGCGTAATCCTTTGTTTTATCTATGTACTCTGACCATTTGATTTCTTGTACAACCATGTTCTTTATGTTTATTTATGATAGTTTTATTCATATAATTTTGATAGTTTCTTATTGCTATTTTATTTCATTTTTACGGTTTTAAATCGCAACCTTGTGCAAGAATTTTGGGCTTGAATGGTGGTCTTAATCGAATGTTTTTTTTCATCTCTTTTTTCAGATGCGAGAATCGTGCAGCTACTATGAATATTGTAAAATACTTAGCTCTTGTCAAGTTTATGAAGAGAAATAATATTTATCATTTACTGATTACGGCTCGCTGATGAATAAATAAATAAATAAAACTAGTTGGTATTGGTATTTAGCCTTGAGGCAAGTTACATGAACTTCCCGATATGTGTAAATAATCGACTTAATCAATAATAAACAAATTAATTTATGAGTGATTAGAAGTATTCCGAGAGGATTTATTACACATAATTGAAAACGAACGAACACGTTAACTCGGGGTATTCTCTAAAAGCAAATTTTCACAAATCAGTAATTTTTATAATTGAACCAGTTTTCGTAGGACTTTAATGGTTTAGTATGTTCATTAAGACCAAGTAATCTATCGTTATACCAGGTAAATCATCTAATTGTAATTTTAATAAACGTCAACAAAACTACTCGTTTTCTCAAACTTTGATGAATTTTTAAAATTAAACTACTTGTCGTAAGGCCGTAATATTTCAGTAAATTCTAAGACCATGATATACATCGCCAAAGAAAGTTTCATAAAAATCGGCTTAAATTTTTTTTTCAATAGTTAATTACAAGAAAACGGCTCGGTAGATTTCACCTAAAACTAATCAGTATTATTCCCAACAAATACCTTTAGAACAGTTTTTGATTTTCTAAAATCGATTCGGTAGAATGAGCTTAAATGTGGACGAAAAGTTTAACACTCCTTTTCAAATTACAAAGAAACGGCTCGGCAGATCGTCTCACAAAACTGACAAACTATAGTGCTCATTGAGATACATCGAATGGCTTTTAAATTTCTGAAATCGGTTCCAGGCGTTTTTGAGAAAACGTCGATGAGAGGTCTAATTTTGACAAATGCCAAAAAAACGATACTAATTTTTTTGCTATTTACAAAGAAACGATTAGGCCGATCGTCGCACAAAATTGATAAACGCTAGTCCTTATCGAAATACATCAAATTTTTGAAATGGGTGCAGCCGATTGCAAATGCTTTTAAATTTTTGAAATCGGTGCAACCGTTTTTGAGAAATCGTTGATTTAAGGCAAAAAATTTGTTTGCGCACACGCACACACACACACATACATACTTTTTCCAAATTTGGTCTCATTCGATTCAGAATGGCTTAAAACGTCGAGAAAACATAAAATTAGCGAAATTTGATGAAAACATAAACTTCTCCTTCGGGGAAGTTAATAAAATTACTTCAACTATAGTAGTTAATTCATTTTCCGAATAACATCTTCGCTAAAGGTAAATACAACGCTTATAAAATTTCTTCCGAAATAAATACATTATTCATTAATAACTATTTATTTATTCGATTAATAGATTGACTTACGTGCTTGCAAGATCCAATTCTCCGCTTTCAACAAAGTCTGCATCATTCAAAACAGTCGGATGAAACATTAAACTTTTATCACTGACGAAAATATTTTCAGGTTTTGCTTGGTAAGATACAAATTCGTTGTCCTGTAAAATAAATATAATACTAGTGGTGCATGACATTGTGCCTTAATATACATATATATGGCAAATTGCCGGAACTTCTTGTACCGTAATTAACTTCCCGTAGGGCAAGTTATAGTAATCTCAAAAAAATCGAATAAAATCAAAAATGAAATTTTTTATATATCTTTAAATTTAAAGGGTTCTGAATATTTTGGCATACCTTAGAAAAAATGGATGTATGTGTGTGCGTGTGTGTGTGTGTGTGTGCGGATACAAATTTTCGTTCTTGAACACGAATCAACCGACTTGAATAATTCAAAAAACATTCGATTCGTATTGATAAGGAGACGTGCTGATTAGTTCTTGGCAAAGGGAGGGTCCAGCCATTACGGAGATACGTAGCAGTGATATAGAAAACATTCAATTTGTAACGATTGGGAGAAGAGGTGATTAGTTTTTAGCATAGGCAGGTCCATCTCCCTATCAATAGGAATCGCATGTTTTTTTTTAACAACTCCAAATTGGTTGATCCGTGCGCCCGAAAACGTGAACGAAAAAATGCGGGCATACAAAACACACACACACGCACATTAATTTTTTCTGAGGTATGGAAAAATGTTCAAAAACCTTCAAAAGGTAAAGATATGCAAAAATTTTCATTTTCGAAGTTCGACCCATTACTATAACTACCTTACGGAAAGATAAAAAAAACCTTTAAAATTTATTGAAAACTTTGAAAAAAATTATCAAAAATCTCAAAAATGAGATTTCTGAGAGTTTGTGAAAAAAATTGAATTTTTTGAAAATTTAGTTTTTTTTATATTTCGATTTTTTTTTAACTTCCCGTAGGGTAAGTTATTGTAATGGGCCGAAAATCGGAATTGAAAATTTTAACATTTCTCGACGTTTTGAAGGTTTCTGAACGTTTTGGCATACCTCAGAAAAAATGGATGTGTGTGTGTGTATGTGTGTGTGTGTGTATGTATGTATGGATACAAATTTCCAGTCACGTTTTCGGGCGCACGGATCAACCGATTTGAATGGTTCAAAAAACATTCGATTCCTATTGATAGTGAAAATAGCTGATTAGTTTTTGGCAAAGGCAGGTCCAGCCGTTTCGGAGATACGGAGCAAAGAGTGCAGAAAATAGAAATCGATTTTTTGTGAGAACGGAGTATCCGATTTGAATGATCTAACAAACATTCAATTAGTAATGATTGGGAGAAGTGCTTATTAGTTTTTGGCAAAGGCAGGCGCAGCAGAATGTTCTTTGAATCATTTAAATCGGACACTTAGTTCTCTCAAAAACTGCCATTTTTTACATATTTAGCTCCGTATCTTCGAAATGGCTGGGCCTGCCTTTGCCAAAAATTAATAAACACTTCTCCCAATCATTACTAATTGAATGTTTGTTAGATCATTCAAATCGGATACTCCGTTCTCACAAAAAATCGATTTCTATTTTCTGCACTCTTTGCTCCGTATCTCCGAAACAGCTGGACCTGCCTTTGCCAAAAACTAATCAGCTCTTTTCCCTATCAATAAAAATCGAATGTTTTTTGATTCATTCAAATCGGTTGATCCGTGCGCCCGAAAACGTGACTGGAAATTTGTATCCATACATACGTTCACACAAACACACACACACATACACACATCCATCCATTTTTTCTTAGGTATGCCAAAATGTTCAGAAACCTTCAAAACGTCGAGAAATGTAAAAATTTTCAATTCCGATTTTCGGCCCATTACAATAACTTACCCTACGGGAAGTTAACAATAATAAAAATTCTTACATACCATATCAATATTGGCCATATGACAATCATGCTTCCATTTCGTCCTGTCTAATTTTCCTAAAGTAAAACTTTCTTCAAAAATCAACTGGTCTTTGCAAATCTTACCCTGTCCTGGTACGAAAGTAGCAGATGGCTCACAAGATGGTGGTTCTGAAAAAAATTGTTCGTATATACTTAACAGAATTACATAAAGAATTTAATCATTTATGAATGAAATATATATTAGGGAGGGCAGTAACAATAATTTTATTTGAGAAAGCGATATAAAGGAGAGAAATGCTGAGATAAAAAGTATAATTTATTCAATTCATTTTGAAAATTAAATTTTGGTACAAGAAAGCATATGACAGAAATAAAAGCCATTTAAAGCGTTATAATATTAAAGATCTTGTTAGAAAAGTGCTGAGATTCCAATGAGAGCTTATTTTATAAACTGGCAGAAAGCTTCCTAGTAAACTATTATAGAGATATTAAAAGTCTAAATAAAGGATGATCCCTAAACTGTATTTGAGACAAATTACATAAATGTTAAAATTAAAACAAGCAGAAACCAATAGCGTATAAGTTGGGATAAATGTGGCAACTATATTGCTGGTAATTCTTATGAATTGGATGCAACTATGAAGTAATCACGAACTGAAATAAATGTACCAACACTTCAAGAACTTAATATTTCTCTTTACTTTTTGTTATCTTACTATAAACGTTTAAGATAACAAGACAGCTATACCAAAATAATCCTAAAATATTATTGACCACGACTTGCTTATGAATAAACAGATGAATAAATCTGCTCAAAATTTTGAATTATATAAAAGATCTGTTTACCTTTACTAAGCCTATCTCTAACATCTAAGTCTTGATTAGGAATAGGTTGACGAATTTGATTTCCAGACCCGGCTAAAATAATAAACTTAATATAAATTATTCAACTTATTATAACAAGTATAACTATTTACATAATATATAATGAACAAGTGATAAAATTGTATATTATAAATAAATATACTGACAATTTGATGTACCAGGCATCTGTCCATTAGAAACTTTTGACGGTTGGTTTCCGTGTTGGATCCACTAGAAATGGCAAAAGATGTTAAAATTGAAAAAAGGAAATATTTGCAGGTTTTTATTGTTGAAAAAATAATTACCACTCAATAGTTCGCCTATTGCATGGATGCTGGATTGTGACTGATGGTTTTGAACTGAAACAAAATATTAATAAATTTTTTCAAACATTCTGGTCATTTTTTCAAAAATTTGATTGCAAGTCATACGTAAATGTATGCAATTTTCATTTTCAGTATAAATACGCATAGAAAATTTAAAAAATGTTTTAACACAAGTATTTATATTTAGCCTATTGGTAATTATATTAGTTTAAAGTAAAAAACTGTTAGGTTAATAATATGTTGCATAACGTATAATAGTTGTGTTAATAAAACGTGGTAGTTAGGGGCAAGTCCCGTAACACCGGACGGCACCAAGAACCGGACACTCTATTTAACACGTGTTATTTAAGCGAGTATAAATTTTTCATTTCAAAATACAAGTGATAGGAGCATGGGGGGCACACAGGTACAGGATCACGTGCCAAGCCTCGCCTGTGACGCACACGGCCACGGCGGAAGCAACCGTTTGCTGTTTTAGGCGCAAAATCACGGCGTCACCTAAATATCAATGGAATTAATTTTAGTATATTTATGCATTTACATTTGAGTGGCATTCAAAAATAAAAGTAGTACTTGATTGTTACCCGTAAAATGGTAGAATAATATTGATATTTTAAACAATTTTAGTAGGTACCACCACATGAACGAACATGTCTGTCCCTTAGCACCGGACACTAAGTCATAATACGTAGTCATAAACATTATTGATATTTCTTGTGAGAATTTACGTAATTTATTCCAGTTATTTAATTTTGTTCTGTATGAGTGCTAACGCTCACAACATACCCCCATTTTTCGTATTTCCTAGTCAAAGAATGAAAAGCTTATGTTGAATGCTGAGAGCTTCGGTGTGGGCCAGCCAAAAGGGTGGATGAATAGTGATTTTTTTTGCAATATACTCGTATAAGAATATTCGTCAAAGACACATGTGCAGACATTCCAGAGTGTGAAGATGGCTTCATAAGTGATCAATGCAGGTTATTTCGAAGGGTCCGGTACTAGGTGCCACTGTTTTAAATCATATTTTTTGATACCAAAGTTTGAATGATAGTATTAATTATTTTTAGCAAAGATTGCGGTTTTGTTAATTTAGTTTGATTTCTAGCTTTGTTATCTAACATAAATCATGATTTAATAAACATTTCGTAGAATATTTTTTGATTTATTTATAAATAACCTTAGGTGTCCGCCACTTGGGGACTTTTCCCTACGTATACTTATGAACATCAATTACTTCAGATATTTGCTCGTTACTTTATAGCTACGTTACATGTATTTCATAGATTTTCCATAGAAAATGTTAAATATTTTTTATGGTAGTGTTATGCCGACACCAAAAATGTTGAAATAAAGAGAAGTGTATCTTAAGAAGTGAAAATTATTTTATTTATTGTGTCTTTTATTTTTTAGAGCATTTTTTTATTTCAGATATAATTACAGCATAATTAGTTCTATAAAATAGTAATATTAAACAATTAAAAAAATTTAATTATAATCAATCAAAAAGGAAGCGTAAATCTAAATAAAGAACAACGTTATAGCTACTGTATTTGCTATTAAATTAATTATAATTAACTTCCCGTAGGGTAAGTTATTGTTATGGGCCGAAAATCGAAATTGAAAATTTTTACATTTCTCGACGTTTTGAAAGTTCTGAACATTTTGGCATACCTCAGAAAAAATTGATGTGTGGTGTGTGTTGATGTATGTATGGATACAAATTTCCAGTCACGTTTTCAGGGCACGGATCAACCGATTTGAATGGTTCAAAAAAATTCGATTCCGATTGATGAGAGATTTTTGGCAAAGCAGGTCCAGCAGTTACGGAGAAAAAAGCAAAGAGTGCAGAAATTAGAAATCGAGTTTTTGAGAGAACGCAGCATTCGATTTGAATGATCTAAAAAACATTCTTAGTAATGATTGGAAAAAGTGTTCATTAGTTTTTGGCAAAAGCACGCCCAGCCATTTCGAAGATACGGAGCTAAATGTGTAAAAAATAGCAGTTTTTGAGAGAACTAAGCGTCCGTTTTAAATGATTTAAGAATTGTCTTAACAAAATTGATTTTGGAAAAAATAATTTTTTTTCAATTTTTTTTTTTTTAAAAAAATTTTTTTGTATATCGAAATAATTCGATTTTATTTATAATTCTGACTATAGTTCTATATACTTTAATTACAAATATGTTTCACTTGCATTCAGTTTATATAATTCTTATAAATATTAGACAATGTTACAATATTAATAATAATCTATTTGAAAACAGTCATATTCCTCAACATTTCGTTATGGTACGGGAAGTTTCAGCAATTTGCCTTAGGCACGATGCCATATTCCCTCACTAGTTTTGTATTATAGTTGAAATTAATTCTAATATAAATTTAGTAGCAAACTAAAACTAAGTAAGTAAGTGGTCTTGCAAACTGTGTCTGAGTGATTTCGATTTATATAAATAATCTATTTAATCAATATCAATTGTGTATGTGATTTACTTATCTACTTGTTTGAAGGCCTACTTACATTTAAAATGACTTTCCGTAGGGCAAGTTAATGTAATCGTCAAAAATCGAAAATGAAAATTTTACGTTTCAAAGGTTTCTGAACATTTTGGCATAATTTAGAAAAATGGATGTATGTATGTGTGTGTGTGCTTGTGTATGAATACAATTTTTTGTCCACGTTTTTGGGAGCACGGATCAACCGATTTGAAATATTCAGCTATAGTGCATGGCATCGTGCCTTAAGGTAAATTGCTGGAACTACCCGTACTTTAATAAAATATTCGACGAATAATAAATGATTTCAAATAGATTATTATAATTACTGTTACTTTCATTATTTGTTAGAGCGGGTGGCGTGGTTTGAAAAAGGTTGGAAACCACTGGCTTAACCTATTGCCGCACCAAACTAATTAAAGTAACTTGATTCCAAACTAAGGAAAAGTAAAAACATTTTCTAAATTTTGTCCTAAATTATTCCGAATAACCTGAAACTTAAAATGAGCGAATTTGACTTTCTGATAAACTTTTTCAAATCATTCATAATCTTTTACTTTTACAACATTACAATTACTTAAAGTAAACTTTAAATCCTAACCTGCAAAATTAGGTGTAGCTAATATATTCGTCAGCAAGCTGCAGGTGCACCAATAAAACAATATCACACCAAAACAATTTATTAAATTAATTATCTTCATTTTGAAGTAGTTCTAACGAAAATATATTTTATTACTAAAAAACTTGTTTCAATAAAAACTTTTAAAAACTAACACAACCTATCTCGCCTGTGCCATTTAATTTATAATTTTTGTTGCGATTAATCATATAACCTCGAATTTGTAAAAAAATGAAAAAAATAAATTATCAAATCATTAAATTGTTATTTTAAATTATTTAAAAAAATATATAAACAATATGTTCGGTTGAAAAAGTTTTATCGCAACGGGTTTTTTAGACAAAGTTTATCACTAATTGATGACCTTAAGATAATTGAATTATTTATGAAATATTTTAAAAACGAATTGTAACTTTATTTCCTAAAATTAGTATTATATATACATATTATATATCTATTATATTATAAATATATATAATATATATATATATAAATATATATATATATATATCTATATATATTTTATTTATATAATATACAGTGCTGAATTTTACAGTAGGGCAGTCAGAGCTACTGCCCAGGGCGGCAAATGTTCGGGGGCGGCCAAATTTGGATAGTGAGAAAAATTCTATACAATATAATCAACAAATGTTTTTTAATAACAGTTTTTATTTCAAGAAATATAATTAACAAAGTATAACACGATTGTAATGCAAAATTTGGGCTCAACTAATCGATTATTAAAATTTATTATTTTGCTTTTCCTCCCTCCCCGAACGTAATTTATCAAATTGGTTAATGAGTTGGTTAATGAGTAACAAAATTTGGCAATTTGGCTAATATAAAGATTCATAAACGAGCTGAAACTTTATTAAGAAAAATACGTTATTCAGATCTCGAGCCCTCTTAAGATAACTTTGTGTACTTTCAAGCTTATAGCGTCGAAAAAAAAAATTAGTGACGCATGGCATTGTGTCTTATAGCAAACTACTGGAACTTCTGTACTAAAAATTACATTTTATATAGAACTTTAAAAATTTTATAAAAATGAAAAAACTGACTTTTAAAAAAACTTTTTTTTATACTTTGAAACTTTTTGAAAATTATGAACTTTTTTCAAAACAATTGCGCTGCGTAGCTATTTCCGAGACAAAATATCAAAACTCAATTACCATTTTTCAAAACTAAAAACTAATCAGCACCTCTCCCCATCAATACAAATTTAATATCTTTTTAATTATTCAAGTCAATGTCCAGAGCACTTGTCAATTTCCACAGGGACCAATCGACAAGGGGACGTGCTGATTAGTTATTGGCAAGGCTGGTCCAATTGTCAATTTTGGCCAAAATGCCAAAAATGATAATTCAGCTTTTGATAAACGGAGCGTCCAAGATCATTAAAAAAATTACATATATTGACAAAATGAAGAACTGCTTACATTTGTGGGAGGCAGGTTTAGGGGTTACGGTGATCCAATAAAAAAAATGAGAAAGAAACATTTGGCGGTCAAAAGTGATCATTAGACATATGCACATCAATTTATCAGATATTTTATAGATTTTTTTTTCTTCTACTGGCCTCTGATAAACATTTAGCCACATACATAATATACAATATGTAGGTAGTATATCTTATATATAAAAATGGAGCTCTCTTTCAAATGTCCGAATAAAACTCGAAAACGGCTGAATCGATTTGGCCAGTCTTAGTCTTGAAAAATTCGTGCCAATCCAGAGATGGTCGGAAAGGTGAGATATTATTTCAAAATCGCGTAGAAACTTTACGTTTTTAATTTGAACATTTTTGTTGAAGCGTAATGTACATAAAACAATGGACGGTGGCTAAATACTTGAAATGTCAAACCTTTTTGACAGATGATGTTCGATTATGTTTAATAGGATGTTTTATGTGAATATTATTTAATTATGATTAAATTGTAGCAAGTAGTTTTGCTTGTAGTTTTATTCATATACAATAACTTTAGTAAACGGGCCGCAAGTGCTACTAGAAACTCAAAATATCAACTTTTTGAAATGTCAATATGAAAATGGACTTTTTGGCCTTTTTTTCCAAACCCGGTGCTCTGAAAGATCTCATTTGTATAATTATATACTCATTGGTATTTATAAAACATTTTCCAGGTTATATTATTTTTTATTTATGTTATTTAAATTCAGAACCTAAATTTGGTATCGATCAAATGGACATTTTGTCGAATAACATTTTTCCAGTTATAATTTCGCAGAATTTATCGCAGAATAGATAGTAATATATGAAGGTCCGGGATTAAAAAGGTCCACCACCGATGTATCAAAAATCAGTGAAGTTAAGGATTGTTTAACAACAATATTTGAAAGTAGAGGAAAAAAGATGTATAGTCAGCTATAACCTTGATTTTTATGACTTTGCTTTTGAAGATAAGCGGTAATCTTTGAAAATCCATAATAAAAGTATTTTCTTCTGTTGGTAGTTTTTTAGCATTAGTTAAAAATGTAATTGTTTTGTGAAATACCTTTAAAATTAAAATAAGCCATTAAACCTGTTTGCCACCTGGCCGTTACAAGGCCGTTATAGGCCGTTACTATTACGCCTATATGGTAAAAAAGTCTAGATAACTAATTTTTTAAAGACAATGATGAAGTAGCTGGCAGTTTTACTGAACGTAGTCAGATAATTGTTCGTTTGAAATGTGTTATTTGTTGTGATATAATTGGTTTGATTTATATAATATCATTAATATTTGCTCAAAGTCAAATTGGACCTTTGTGTCTCGCCCTGCTCTACATATATAGTTTTTATTAAATTTACTTTAATTCATCGAATGTTACTTGAAACTTCTCAAAAAGCATGTCAAAGAAGAAATACTTAATTCATTTTCTATCTCTCCTCGGCAAAATTTGAAACTTTTGCATAAGCTCAGTAGTATTATTTACAATTATACACAAAATCCAGAATCCAAAAAGAATCTGAAAAACTTGAAACGTAATTAATAAGTCGAATGACCAAAAAACACTTGGATTGGATTATACGATGTTTTCTATAGAAAGTGTATAAATCTTCCAGATTGATTGTATTGACAAAATATAGACAAACTAATGGGGTTTATTGTTTTTATAATACCTCATTGTATACAGCATTCAAACAACACATCCTTATGCACTTAAAGTATTAATATTTTTGATAAGCTAGAAATGGTTTAGAATATACCTTATTTAGCAAAACAAAGTTTGCCGGGTCAGCTAGTATATTATATTAATAACTTATACTTAACTTTACTATCATTAATAAACCTAATTATGTATTGTAATTATCCTTACAATATTTGCAATAATTTGAATTGTTATCCAAATTGGAAGGTTTGATCAGCGTTTTCATAGAGTGCAGTTGCTCTAACAATTTAGCCCTGCTTGCCTCAAATAGACTGCATTCTAGTATGATGTGTTCAGATGATCCAGTTTGTGCTCCACAAGGACACGATTCTGACACTATTATGCCCAGCATTTTTAGATGTGCAGGGAAGTTTCTATGGTTAAGTCTCAATCTAGTTAATGATACGATTGTACCTCTGTTTTCATCTGCATATTTCCGAAACCACGGTTTCATCTTCAGTTTGGGGTTGACTACCTTGTAGTATCGTCCCTTAATCTCCGACGAACTGTTCCATTCCTCTAGTCATTTGTCCAATTATAGATATTTTAATAATAAGTATAAGTTTTGTTTACATTTCAATAAGTTCTGTAACCCATGACTTCTGTTAGACTGCAAAGCGGCGCTTACGCGCTTCTATATTTTGTACCTATGCAGCTGAAGCAGCGCGATTGTTTTAAAAACAGTTCAAAATTTCATAAAAGTCAATTATTTTTAAAAATTGTTTTTTTTTTAAAGTTCTCAAAAAAATTTTTTTTTTTTAATTTTTATTTTTGGTACGGAATGTTCCAGAAAATTACCTTCAGGCACGATGCCAAACACCACTATCTATTCTATAGTATGTAATGCGTAATAAATTTTCTGCAATCAAATAGTTATTTTTTAGAAAAAATGATACATATATAGAAACTATTATAGTACAATTCTAGGGATTGGGCGGCATTTATGTCAGTTTTCCAGGGAGGCAAATTACTAAATGCGGCCCTGTATATATATATATATATATATATATATATATATGTGTGTGTTTGTGTATATGTATATATATCCACATATATGTGTATGTTTATATAAGATAAGGACTCCATCCACAGAGCATTTGGTTTAAGACAAATTTTCAAAGTAATCTTTAGGCAATTTAGAAATGATAACATAAGAATTCACGTTTCCGGGAGCATTGTAATCTTATTGTTAAAACGAGCAATAAGAAAAAAATATGATCTGATTCGAATGATTCGAAAATAATTTTGCTTGTGAAGAAACGATTAGTTTAGTAAGGCAAAAAAATTGTTTTCCAAAATTTTATTTTTTATTATCAAAAATGATTCGGATTTCAATTTTAACTCTAGCTAAAATTCTAAAATTCTCTTAAATACATTTTATCTTTGCAATTCTGTTTATATAATTCGTAGAAAATGATTAGATCCTTAATTCTTACTCCGCTTCATTATGTTTGGTTATTTACTTTTCATGTAAATAGGTATAAACGTCGTCCAACTTATTAGCTTTTATATTTTGTCTATAAAAAACGAATAATGAAAGTTTCAACATTTATAATAATCTATTGGAAAACATTTAATGTTCTTCGAATATTTCACTTCCAGTATTGTAGATCCAGCAATTTGCCTTAAGGCACGATGCCATTCACTACTAGTTTTAAGTTTTAAATTGTTTAACCAGAAACAAACGCTCGCTTAGGACATTGATTGTATTAGGACATATACGGTGTAAGTCGTAACAGATGTAGGCCCATTACACCGTAC